GTGTGTATGCATTTTGTTTCAAAAATTGATAGTTGGTATTGTTATCAGATCTGCCAAGGAGGTAAAATACCTAAAGACCAGTACGCTAAAAAAGTGGATAAGCCAACCGACAACTACACTACCGTCGTCGTTCGAAAAGGAGGGAAGTTGGAATTCGACATTTCTGCGCCCGAAGAGGGTTCCATCTTAAGGTGATGAATATTTTTACAACAAACATGCCGGAGAGGAAAAGCTTCTTTCTCTTAATTCATATCTTTTATATTTAGTTGGGAATTCCGAAGCGAAGGTCATGACATTAAATTTGGAATTTTGAAAAAGGACGTGGCCAATGGTACGACAACGGAAGTTATACCTGTCCGGAGGGTCGCGTCCCATCAAACGGACGAAATTGGAATATTAACTTGCGAAACTGCAACGACCTGTAAGTCAATATCGCTCGAGCAGCCCACTAAATAACAACGATGTCATCTAAATCGTCATTTGTTTCAGATTCCCTTGTTTTCGACAATACCTATAGTGTTCTAAGGGATAAGAAAGTCCATTACTCCGTACGTGTGTTACCACCGGCACCCGTGTCAATTATGCAATGAAATGGATACTTTTAGGAAATTTTAGCATTAGTTCTTGGTAACTTTACTCTTACACTTTAAGCTAGAATTTCGGAAGGATTTTACGTTAGGGTTTTGTAGCAAACTTAGGTATGACGTAAGTTCTTTGTATAATTTATAGGTCATAGTATTTTTGTTATTTGACATTTCCTTTCCTTTCTCCATTTCCTCGTTGCTCGAAAGGTTACGTAGATCTTAATCGCAATAGTGATCACGGGACACACGAATGCAAATGCACAAGAAATTAATAAATCCTATTGTCTTAATTTACATAATCTCTTTTAAAGGCAGGATAACGGAAGGTATCATGATTATTAAAAAAAAATAGACATACATTACAGTATACGAAAATGTAGTTTATGTATGTTTATAATTCAAGTTATATATGTCTTTATATATTTAAAAAAAACAATAGAGAAAGACAATACATAGTATGAATTTCTTTAATCGTCTTCGTCTGCACATAGTAATAACTCGATAAGCTCAGGTTTCAGTAATTGATCACCTTCTAAACGTTTCTGAGTCCCCCATTTAATCAGAGTTGGCAAGACCTTCAACTTGGTAATAGGATCTGTCCTGAATGGACAGTGCTGATCTTTCCAGCTAGGACAGCGTATAAGAGTCTTTTAAAACTTTCTTTTCCGTCTTGTATCTTATGTACGTTGCGTTAGATAATTAAATGCTACTGTGCATGAGATAATTCGTACAAAAACAATAGTCGCAGATGAGAAACACTTGATTTACTTACAACGCCCTGTCACCAACTGTCACTTTCACGAATAGCGTTCGTTTGGGTTCTTCTGCTTCTGCGGCCAATCCCAAGAATGCTTTTGAAATAAACGGCTCAGCTGAAATAAAATACCGATAATTTAGGTAACTAAGCAGGAATAAGTAAAGCGGATAACTTAAAGTCTAACGTAACATTGAAATGTATCTGCATTATATTCTCCTTTTCTGTGTTATACACATAAAAGTATACACACATACACAAAAGATAAGATATTAGTGATTCAAGTTTAACTAAGTTGCCCCTAACATGTTGCTCTAAAACAAATTTCACATAATCTAATGTTTGTAGTTTGATAGCCAGATTCTAAACAATGACTGATACGAAAATTACTCCTGGAAACTAGACGATTGATTTTCCAGCGATACGGAAGTAGATGAATCTTATGCTCTCGTTTCATCACGTCAATCGTTCCGTTGTTTCCAGCTTTTAGGCCCGGTTTCACCAGACGTCGCTCAACTTTGATCTTAGCTTAACTCATGTCCGTCTCTTTCCAAAGTAACAGTTGGAAAGAGACAAAGAACGAATTAAGCCGAGCTAAAAGTTAAACGACATTGGCGAAGCCGGGTCTTAGAAATTTAAACATCGCTCGACGACCGATAGAATGCAATCAAGGCCTGCGTTCAGAAACATCACCCGAGCGTTCCAGTGTACCCATTAATTTTATCCTTGTTTAACATACGGTGAGCAACAAGGCTAAAATCATACACTGAGGCACTCGGGCCCGGATAGCACAAGACACTCCTATGAACATTTTAAGAATATTCGGTGGTCGAATTGGTCGAGACGCCCGCCTAGAGTGTAGGGAGGTTCAGGTTGAAACCCTGGCTGAGGTAATATTTTTCGCAATGAATTTCTTTAATTAGAATTTGCCAGCCACGGGTCGTCACGCGACTTTCTACATTGGCTAATCAATTACCGGCGTTAAATAATTCTTTACATTCTTGAAGAATATTTGGAATATTCCACAGGTCATTCTTATGTATTTATCTTATGTTTGTGGAACACTCGACTGGCACTACTATAAATCTCTTTCGAATGCGAACAGAATAATCTGTCGAATATAGCGTGTCGGTTGCATATGGTATGTTCACTGGTTTCGCTGCCTTTTGCATAAGATAAGTGTATTACAATAAACAGTGTGCAATACATAAACTCGATGAACATTAAAAAATTATTCTGAACTAATATTCCAACGACATCCTCCACGAATATTCTAAGAACATTCTTTGTTATGAATACACGATTTCTAATTGTAATAATATACATATATTTATAGAATATTGGATTGGAATATTAAGAATATTTGCACTCCAGAAGAGAATATTCATAGAACCGCGTGTGCTATCTGGGTATGTTACAATTTCTCACTCAACAATGTAAATCTAATAACACGCGTGTCTCCGCTGGGTCCTGCAATCAGTCTGCTGTCATGTCCTGTTAACAGATCCCGGTAAATTTTCCGCCAATATAAAATTTAAACGGCGGATACTTCGCAAAGTGCGCGTCTGGCATTATTTGCCCACGAGTTTGTGCGACGGAGGAATATTTACAGTATGTCGTTTAATCGTTCAATTAACGGTTTCTTCGCTCGGTTCTCCCGCGGCCAGTCGTAGTATCGTATCCCATTATACCTCTGCGAAAACGGAACTCACGACGGACACTTTGCGACGTCCCGGTCCAACTGGGAGGGGGATTAGAGGTTATGTCGACACGCGCGAAAGCTCCTCTCACCCTCCACGCAGTCCGAGCACCAGCTCTCGTCGCTCCCCGGCAGTGGCGAGCCGGTGAACAGAATGTAGGTCGGCCTCTCGACCCTCTTGAGCCTAAGCTGCTCCACGTATCTCAGAAAGTTGTCGTACCCGTCGACTCCAATCTGCTCCATTTTTGCCGAATCAGGCTCACGACGATCGCGCCCGGTAGGACTTCGGGTGGACGAATGGTTGAACGCCATCAACTTTCTGTCGCCTGTAGGAGCTGCTCGCCTACGTGATCTCCATTTATCTGCGGTGCGCGTGCACTGTCATCGCCGTAATCTACTCCCGACGCGATAACGACGGACGATAGCCATCGAAACGCCTCTCTAAAATCTCTCTCTCTCTCTCGCGCGCGCGCGCGCTCTCTTTTTCTCTCTCTCTCTCTCTTAGAAATCGCCCCTGTCAAAAGCGTAGTATTTGCCGCGCTCGGAGAATTCGGCACGATCGCGCATTTCGCCAAGTTGCACAATCCGAGGGCGCGATCTATATAGGCGCACTCTCGCCCGCCCCCGCGACGAGGATTCATTCGCGCGTGTGTCGCGTGACGCATTCGCGTTCCGCGAATTCGAGCGCGGCTCCCGGAAACAAAGGGAGGTAGGGAGGGAGAAAATAAAGCTCGGAACAAAGGTCTCGATTGAGAAAGACCCGGCGGGCGGGCACTCCCTCCTCCCCGGGGGCCGCGGATCATCGGAACACGGCGGTCGTCGTCGCCAAGCGGGGCTGTTACTCTCGATAACTTCGTTAGACTCGGAGCCAATTCGAGGCCTCGAGGTTGACCTCGAACTTTCGAAATCTTGGAATCCCCGAATCTTCGAAGCTTCGAGATTGACTTGGGACTTCCGAGATCTTGGAATCACCGAATCTTCGATAGCTTCGAATGTCGAGGCCTTCGAGGAAAATCGCCAGCTCTATTATCGCCCGAGTGGAACGTGAAACTCGCTCATTCGTTTATTAATTGCCGATAAAGCCCGCAACGTCGCGATGACGTCGCCCGTGGCTTATTTATCGCTGAAAAGGTTGTAACGACGCTACACCGACGTCACTCCGATGACGTCATTGTAATCCCACGTTCCACCTGCGTAATAAGCCGCCTCGTACCCTCCAGCGGCGTTTTAGCAAGTAATATCATTACTAGCTCGCAAGTCGATAGTATACGCGTAGACAACATCTGTACTGTTATTGCGACAAATGTTGTCATATGCCTCGGTGGTCGAATTGGTGAGACGCCCGCCTAGGGTGCAGGGATTCCCAAGAAGAAGTCAGGATGATGTCAACTTGACGTCATATTGACTAAATTTATGTCGAATTTTGGTCAATATGGCATCAAATTGACGAAAATTTGCCATGAATTTGGTCAATATGACATCAAATTGACATCGTCCTGACTTTTTCTTCTCCTTGGGGAGGTGCAGGTACAATAAATTTTCTGTGTTAAAAACGCACCGCCAGTCACGGTCGATTAAAAGCTCGACCATTGTCAGTAATATTATTATTTAATTATTCCGAATCCATTGCCCTTCGGCTCCGGATGGCTTTTACACTTTTTACACCTTTATCTACTCGTAACGTATCTTGCAACTAATAGACTTAGCTCGTGCCATCCTCTTGGTGAGTTAACTGATGGTTAAATCATACGTGTGTCTTCGCTTTTCCTTCAAATTTGACAAAGCCAGACACATACAACCATCTGTTAGCTTGCCGAGAGGTTGGAGAAACTGACCCTCAGGCTTGTCGTTAAATGCATCTTTTGTGTCAATCCCCGAGTTGCGCTCCCAAGTAAAATATATTAGTCATGAAAACATCAAGATGACATCATTTTTTATGCATCGTGGTGACGTCAAAATCAAGAGCACCTACTTGTGACATCATTAAGACATCGAAATGCTGTAAAAATGATCTTGTTTTACAAAGCAGAGTTAATTAAATATTACACATTAAAAATAAATCGAAGTAGTATAAGATAAACATAATATATGACCGATCATGTAATAACATATTATACACATCACGAATATCGTAAAGCAGCATGTTATAAATCAGTCATTGTAAAGTAAATCTTGACGTCGATTATTTTATGACGTAAAATTCACCATTTTAATGTCACATCGACGTTTTTATGCGATTAACTTGTTCTACTCGGGCTGTCCCTTTACGCGCCGCATCAAACGCGAAATGAAACTCCAACTCTGCAATTCGAAAATTAAGAAAATCCAAATTAAAAACCTTTCCTTCGAAATTCTCCTCGTAATCTTTAATCTTAAATTGTTCTCTCTTCAATTCTAAAATGTTCAACCTCCAACTTTCTAAAAGTTCAAATTGCATCCCCGTTTTATACATCTCGGGGAAATAAATCGCTCTCGCCCCTCGCTACATTTTCGCGAAAGGAGCTCGGTACGTCGAGCAATTTCAAGGTGCACTTACAGCCTCCGCCTAATAATACATTCGTAAGAACGACGTTCCCAACGGGGACGATTCTTTTGTCCCCGGCGCGAGACGTTCGAGAACGCCGCAGCTCGCGCGGATTCGAATCCGCCGCGCGGCGGCCACCGCCGGGCGGCGGGGGTAGCGACGCGCCGCGCGATTGGTCGGCGGCCCGCTCTCCCCCCCCCTCCAGCCCCCAGCCGGCGGGCGGTCGGCGTGGTTGCGACAGGCGTTTCGGGCTTCCCGTTTCCGTGCGTTCCACGAATCGAGTGAGCGGCGCTCGGCACTCCGCGACCGAGCCTCGAGCGCGTACCATCGCCGTGTGGCATCCGCGTGGTCCCCCGCTCGTATCCGCTGCTGCGCGGCCCCCGGGCTGCCCGTTCCGCGTACGGCGTGTCAGATCCCCCATGTGCTGACATCGGCCGCGACGCGAGAGTGCTGCGGCGCGCCCCGACCTGCCCCGTTTCCGTGCCCGTGTTAACCGAAACCAGTTGGACGCGACAGGTGACGGCGCGATGTCGGCGATCTTCGACATCGAGCTGCAGGACGCAGGACCGCTGCATGGGGACGAGTCGGAGGACGACGACGTCATCGAGATCGACGCGGTAATTAAGATATCCCTCTCTGTGTCTCGCTCTCTCTCTCTCTCTCTGTCTCTCTTTCTCTCTCTCGCCCGAGCGGCCACCCCGTCTCAGGACGGGAACAACCGTCCCTGTCCCCGACGGCTCTCTCTGCGTCGCGCCCGCGCCACGGCAGCGGCACGTGTCCCGTCGCACTAACGCCGCATCTGTTTTCCTTTTCGCAGGAGGATTGCGTCGCGCTGAGCCTGAATGAGATCGTAAAGTGAGTAGACCTGCGCGCCGCGTCCACGCGGCCGCCCGCAGGTCCTTCCGGCCTGGCGTCGACTAATTACACTCTCCTCCTTTTTTTTTCTTCTCTCTCTCTCTCTCTTCCCCCCACCCCCCGTCGCCCTTTCCAGCTCGTCGGACGTGGAGACGGTGCCGATATCCGAGCAGAGTGTCAACCGCGCGCGCGTCGGACCGCAGGACTTCGAGCTGTGCAAGGTGATCGGCAAAGGCGGCTACGGCAAGGTGTTTCAAGTGCGCAAACTAACGGGAAACGACAGCGGCACGATCTTCGCTATGAAGGTAACAACCCCTCCCGGGGTCCTCGCGACGCACCATGCGGCTGATTGTTTATCCTGGACTGTATCGCGCTCGCCGAACGCCCGCTCAAGGGTGGACGATCACCGAGGGGGAAACCGCCGAGGGCATTGTGGTGTAGAGATTTGCGGCATTACTGGGCATTACTAGGTCTTGCTGGGGCAATATATAAAGATAAAATAAGATAACACAAGATAAATAATGTAAAACAAGATGATAGGATGAAGTAATGCCCGTTGGGCATTGGTGTACAAGATTTTGGCCAGCGATTTCTCCCTCGACGATCGCAGTAGCGTTTCAAATCTAAGAGCGTTATCTCACCGTCTCGTTATTATTAAACGTTGCACCGTTACATTTGTCGTGTTGAATTCAACTCGACGGGCGGTCTCCGCCGTTCCCGCTCAATATGTTACTCTTTTCAACGTGAGTCTATGGTAAAATTTATTATTTATATTGATTATTTGTAAATTTGTTATTGTTTCAACGCAAATTGCAGTTTCGAAGACAACTGCGCCCTCAATTTAACTCGCTTTGTGGCTTCTTCCAACTCCGTTGTTTAATTAGCGACATATTGAGCAGAAGCAGCGACGACTCTACTCGCGGAGTTAAATTTAACAGTGCAAAAGTTAGGCGTGAGCCTCTGTATTCTTCGTCGGCGTCTCGCGAATGGAGATTATTTTAATTGACTCGTCCACTCGTTGGAAATTTTACTCGTCCTCCGACCGTCGCGGAACGGACGTAATTAGTTTTTATCTCTAGAACGGTGAGCTGTAAATTCCCTAATCAATATCTATTTTTATATCATCCGCCGTTGGCAGACGTCCTTGTCCGCGGTTTCTTCCTTCGGTTGTTGAGAGTATTCTTTTGTGCCGTCTCGAAATAGGTGTTGCGCAAGGCTTTGATTGTGAGAAACTCTAAGGACACGGCTCACACCAGAGCCGAGAGAAACATCTTGGAATCCATACAGGTGAGTGTATATTCCTGTATGCTAACAAATTTACAGCAAATTCGGTTGCTTGCGCCGAGCGCACACCAAGGCCTGGTTATGGTCAATTTTGCATATTCGACTAGAGGCTTGTTTTCTGTTGTTACACTGATGAACTGTAGTGCAACGAATTGGAGTATACTTTTCGCCATTCTAGCTTACTGCACTAGTTCACCAGTGCAGCAATAGAGAACAAACCTTTAGTAACAAGAACCCGTATCAGACTGGTTGAGATTGAGATTATATTGAAATTTGACCAATCGGAGTAAAATTCCTAAGGTGAGTTTGCTCACTGTCACCAGTGATGATGAAAAATCGAGACGGGCAACTTACAGTCAACCCAACTGGCTGGTTATTTGATTAGTTTGTTACACAAACGGGTCGAAACGGTGTGTAATGAACTAATAAAATAACTAGCCAGTTGGATGGACTATAAGTTCGCCGTCTCAATTTCCAATTTCTAAACTTGAGATCAGTAGGCTTTACTCCGATTGGTCAAAGTTAAAATCTAATTTCAATTTCAATCCGTAGCCTGACACGGGCTTTATAGGTCTGTTTGCGTCGCGTGTCCCAACATACTCCTGCATGCCACAACGCCCAATACCGTCACTTAAATCGTAAATAAAATGACAGCATTGGTCGTTGGGGCAAGCAGGAGCATGTGGGGCATGCGACGCGGACAGACATTTTGTCTCAAACGCACGTTCAAAGAGTAGCCAAAACATGATCCGTGTGGATGCTACACAGAACATTTTACTGGCTAAGAAGTATTTGATAAAGTATGTAAGACGATCCTCAACTATAAGAATTGACTGTAGCAAACGAGCCACTTAGTATGCACTCGGTACAAGTTGCGCACTAGCATAGTATAATTCGTAGGTCCACTCCGTCGTTTGTTTCGTTTTGCGTCGATCCCTTTTGCGCATCCGGCATTGCCCTGGGTAGACTAATGAGAGAAAAGTTGTATGTGTGGTAGTGTGACTTTGATGAGTACGTATTCACACACACACATGTCGCTGAATCCTGCCCGGGTGTATGGCGGAATACCATGTGATTGGGACCGCAAAGATCAAAGGGGACGGCAGAGAGTGGACCTACTAGTTATACTATGGCACTAGTACAAGCTGCCGAATTTGCTGTTCGTGTGCACTCGGTGCGCACTAGTGCGAGCAACCAAATTCGCTATTAAAGTATTCGACAAACGGTCCATGTATGCATTTAATCTCAGTAGCGCGTGCGAAAGAGATAGTACTCCCAGCAGTTTATTAACATGTTTCGATAAAAACTAATCTCTTTTTGTTCTATTCTTTGGCATATCTCATGCAAAATACTTAATTTATATATTTATACTTGCGTCCGGCAGCATCCTTTCATCGTAGATCTCAAATACGCTTTCCAAACTGGTCCTAAATTATATCTGATACTGGAATATATGTGCGGCGGTGAGCTGTTCCGACACTTAAACTCCGAGGGAATTTTCATGGAAGACACCGCGCGGTGAGTAAAAGAAAAAAAAATAAAACGCCTCCAGTTATATCTTTCGAAGATAAATCCGGCGTAAATCTAACGTTGCATCGTTATTTTGTCTTGCAGTTTTTATTTGTGCGAAATTACATTAGCCCTGCAACATCTCCATTTGCAAGGAATTATATACAGGTACTATAGTTTTCCTGTTAGATTCTCTACAGTGTTACAATATAATTTAAGGCTGTAATATAATTGATATATTAAACGTTCTTTATGCAGCATTGCATTAATAGTGCTTGTAATGAATTGTTTTAGAGATTTGAAACCGGAAAATGTTCTACTGGACGTAGATGGACATATTAAGTTAACTGATTTTGGATTGTGCAAAGAGCATATACAGGAGGGTGCTCTTACGCATACGTTTTGCGGAACTATAGAATATATGTAAATACTGTAAAATAATGGATAATTTTTTTCCCCGGAAAACTACGATTGCAATTTACATTGATTGTACTTTATTCAAGGGCGCCTGAAATTTTAACAAGAAAGGGACATGGGAAAGCGGTAGACTGGTGGAGTTTAGGCAGTTTAACATATGACATGCTTACAGGGGCTGTATGTACTGATCACCGTACACGAATTCAAGATGAAAGGATATGCAATTCATGTTAACATTTGCTAAATTTTCAGCCACCGTTTACTTCAAGCAGCAGAAAGAAAACTATTGACAGGATTCTACGTGGTAAATTATCTTTTCCATCCTATGTAACGGCCGTTGCTCAAGATTTTATTCGAAAATTACTGCGGGTTAGTTCCCATCAATTAATCGCTACATTCGTATCTTAAAAGCACGGCCATTTTTAAAACAATGAAAGATCTTATATAATTTTTTTTCTCTGCAGAGACAAGTTGCGCAAAGATTGGGATCTTCTCAGGCGGATGGTGAGGAAGTAAAGGCACACAAATTCTTTAAACATATCAATTGGAACGACGTTATATCTCGGCAGCTGGAACCTCCTTTTAAGCCACAATTGTCTAGCAAAGAAGATGTGTCGCAATTCGATCAGAATTTTACCGCTTCACCGGCAGTAGATACTCCGGTAGACTACACTTTGAGCGAGTCAGCTGAGGGATTGTTCCAGGTGAATTTCCTTCTTTCTGATTCATATGTCTAGATGTAATCAGTTATTATCATTGCCATACAAAAGTGGCTGAGTGCTGCGATAGGCAAATGTGCGCCTACTGTAGAAAGAGAGACACTAGATGGGAGGCCTAGGCTCGTCTCTTTTGTTAGCATCTCGCAATTCTATCTCTTCCTACCAATGAGATTCTAGCAAAATAAATAAAAACCTCTCTTTTCAGCAGATGCGCGTTTGCCTATCGCAACGCTCAGTCCATTCGATATATCAATGGTCGTGTACACGTTTGGTTGCATTTCTTAATAACCGAACCTTTTACAGGGATTTACATACGTAGCACCGAGCATATTGGAGGACTGGAGAAATCAGTTTCAACAACCCTATCTAAGTACCATGTCGCCACCATCCGTAATAAAAGCCAGAAGTCCCCGCAAAGCGACTCGTGGTTTTTCGCCTCGGACGACGCATCTTCATTTCAATGCCCATTTATCAAATCACACGTAAGGATACAAAAGTTACAAGTTTCTTGCTTTCAAACGGTTCTGTTTTTTTATATAGTATACGATTTCGTGGTATGAAATTCGAGTTAAAAGCAGCACGGGCGATAATTTTTTAGGTTCAATGTTGTTGGCAACGTGGAAGATGCGGAAATGATTGAAATAGGCTAACCATTACTATTCGACTAGTAGATAGCATTTTTGCCCAACTGCTGGAAATTCATAATCCTCAGGGAGAGGTTTTATAATTTAGAAGAAATAGTTAGGAAATGGATGCAGTGTCCATTATTACATTGGATCTCCAGCAGTTACATTTAGCTAAACTTTTTTATACCTATATATCACGTACGAAAATATTAATTGATAGATTATGATTTGACAGCGACGCAGCAGGTATTTGGTAGCGCATAGAGTAGTTGCAAATTTAATGCGAATAGATTATCGATAATCCGCAAGAAAGTACATTATTTCTCGACTAGTTATTATATTTTCAGTTAGCTACTGATTTATTGAAAACCATATCTCTTGCATTTGATTATTCGTGCATCAACTTTTATAAATATCCAAATCTTTATTAATGCCAGCCATCACGTTACTACATATTCATAAAACAAGATCGTAATTTGTACTGTGGTGTAATTAAAGGTAGGCTTTTAAAATTTTGGAAATATTCGAGCACAGTGCTTGAATTTTAAGAAGCCGTGTATTATAGAAGCTAAAAAAACATGATCTCTCTTGATAATATTTTTACATATGAAGATTTATACGTACATCTGTAATAATATAAGCTTATTTTATACCCGGGAAATGTATCGATATTTACTGATTATCGTTAATTATTTTCTTAATGAGAGAAAAAAGTCTCGAAAGATGCTACCACAACCGCTCCGCCGCTCAAAGCTCGTTCCATATATACCTAAATACATTGTTAGGAGAAAATATTTTCAGCAGTAATAACGTTTCCATGGCAATAATGTAAAAAAAAATAGTTTTGCCTAAGTAATGACCGTAGAGATGGAGTATATAATGCTACAATGGAATTGCATTTACACAATGAAAGTTCCTATATACATTGCAAATTCGATTACAACATAGTTTATATTCTCCGAAATGAAAGAACATTTTGTTAAACAATCATGCGTATCAATATGTTAGAATGAGAATGGCTATTGTCATTCCGTAACTTGAAAGCGGATGGCATGAAATATTACAATTGCAGATGCGGACCTATATCCTGGGTATATTTTTAGCTCCAGGTCATAGGTTGTTCTTACTGTAAGGTACTGATGTTAGATCTATTGAAAGAGATGAATGCCTACGCAGTTTAGTTTGTATTTGAACAATCAACAAGCTTATTTTCAGATGATTATGTTCTTTTAATTTTGTCGTTACATTGTATCGTTCGCTGATTGTTGAAAGAATTAACGCAAGTCTTCGATGTACAAGTTCAATGTCTTCTCGCGAAAGATACGCTCTTTTTTACGCCGAATCAGTAAATAGTCGGAATGGTACGGGATGATTAACAGGTTACCATGGTAACAATGTTACTGCAAAACATGGACTTTCCATCCGAATGAGTATTCCATACTTGTTCCTTACGTTACATGCATTATTTATCGTGTACGTACAAATAGATAATATTGATTTTACTTACAGAATGCAGTAGGAAAAATAGACATAAGCGTGAGTGACTGTTAAAATCACTCACGAAAGCTCCAAACTACCCAAGTGTTCAGTAGGCCATGCTAGCAGGCAAATATCTTTTAATTATTTATAACGGAATAATCATAGTCGAAATGTAATATTGCCCGGCGTCTCTTTTTCTCTCAAGTATTTTTTTGTCCGTTTACGTAGGAACGTTCTCTTGCAGGCAGGTTGCATTTCGACTACGTCGACTACACAAGGCAAGTGCGCATAATGTAAACCTTGTAAGAACACGTTGTACATCACTGGATGCAACATCAATCTTATAAAGTTCATATTACCCGCACTTACCTTGTGTAGACCATAGTAATAAATAGGGGTGTATCTTCGGGGAGGTAGGCACCAAGACGCGCCACTAATTTTTCGTCTAGAAAAATAACGGGCTAAGATTCGAACCCGGTCCTTCCGCTTGCCGGGCGAATGCTCTTCCATCTGAGCTATCCAGGTTCACACTCGAAATCTTCTTCGCATCTACTCTGTTCAATAAAATAATTTACCTAATTTATCTTGGTGAATAAAGTAGGAATGTGAGAGAGTGTCCTAGTGGCGCGACGCCAGAGCGCTGCTCAACGGTTTGGTAGACCGTCGTATGGGTGCAGAATGGTCATACCTCCCCGAAGACCCCTCTTAAATATATTATAAGAGAAATGTGTATTCAGAGACAAAACATGAGAATTTCTGATCGGTTTTTCGGTACGTATCTGAACACATGTATTTTCGACATTGAAGCAGGAATGTGCCTACAGAGTTGTCAAGACACTGTTCGAAGATTATATATTGCTCGACGACACACTGAAATTTACTACAAGTAAGAGAGATACCAATTATGTCCTGAATTACCCACTGTCAGATTTTGATAGATACCAAAACTGCTGTATAAACTATAACTGTTACCTAAGATTCGCTTTAAATTAAAGCATGCCAGAGAATCGTGCGGGGACGCTGCTCGATATCACTGCCTCATACAACGCACGCGTTGTTACCTCCGCGTGATTCCGCGTGTAACGAGTTTGTCTTGTTTACGAAGTCAGGGCATTTTTGCAAGCGAGAGACCGAGAGCGCGTTCGAGCGCCAATGCGAAAGGACTTTGCAAAACGGTCTTCGTTAGTTACATCGACGCGCTCTCAAGATGTTGGTGCTGATGCGGTTTATTTTGATTTTATCCTTGGAATTAGGCGTCCTCGTTATTTTATTAATTATTAAAGTAGACAAATTTTTTTTTATATGTGCCGCGTCATGCAATGGTCTCACGTGCTTATTTCTAATGCGTTTAGTTAAGTTCAGTCTTAATCAAAATATATGTAGTTTTCTTTTTGCAATATATGTAATTTCCGTCTTACAATTGGCGCCAGTTTTCGTGCAAAAGTGCCACCTGCACACACTTTCGGACATCGCTATCGAATACTTTCGGTACGAAGGAGTATTCAAATAAACAACGAGAACTGACGTTTTTCTATCGTACGTTAAGTGAATCGATTTATCGATTCTGGCTCTATTTTGATAGGACAAAAGTTAAGAATTAACGATCAGTTTTAATTTATAGTATGCACGAAACGAAATAGACACTTTTTCTTTTTTAAGATTCTCCCTTTACGGGAAACGAAATAGAGACATCCATATTTATTTGCTGTATGAATGCATTAGACATTTAAGGGACGGAAAATATCATCGAACGATGTGTAACGAAGTCTAGCCATTAGACGGAAAAGTGATATAACTGATTTATGCTTCCATTTAAGATTAAATGTAGGACTTCGGGTGAACTTATCGCTGCTATGATTTGTAATCCTCTATAAATCTTATCCATAAATTAATATGCAACGATTTGTGAGAGTAAGTGCGTCCGTTGCGAGAGTAAACGCGTGTGTGCGTGAGCGTGTGGGGGTGTGTGTGTGTGCGTGTGTATGTGTGCGATGTGAGTGTGCGTGACATATCCTTGTCATGTGTATTGTTTTACTTATTTCAGTGTTATATACAATAAATTGGGTATAAAACTATCGGTTCGCTCTTGATTTAATGCGACGATAATTGATCAGCCGCTGTCCAGTCTAAAGGTGAAATCTTGGAAAACTCTTGATATTCAGAATTTCTAATTCACGGATCATCGTTGACCTTACGTTTCGTAGTTCCGGTTCGTGCGGGCACAAATTTAAAGAGAGAAGGAGAAGCAGAAGTGTACACTGTTGGACCCAATCTATTAATTATTCCCTGAATAAGTTCGGTATTTCATTATAATAAAATCGTATTTATTATAATACAATTGTTAAGTAATAAAAGCTCGAACAACTATAGTAAATCAACCAAAGGAAGGGGAAGAACCGCAGCAGGACGTTCGTGGGGAAATATTTTATTAAAATTACAGGATCGTCAACGCTTCAGTCTATAATTAACTATTTTCAACGTGAAAAAATTATTTGACTGCAAAAACTGATAAATTCGTAGTACGCATAGTTTGCATTGTGTGCAACTCCTAGCTCGCAATGAGCGCAAATTGCGTTGGCCCGATGAGAAGAAGTCAAACTGAAACTGTAAAAACTGTAAAAAAGACTAATATTATAAACTGTATATAGTATTACGCACACACACGCATATATATATATATATATATATATATATATATATATATATATTCATTGCACGCATTATTACCGAACACTCCGTTCATCCACATGTAAATTCGTCATGAATCAAACGCGTGTAAACTAATTGTATGTAAATGGCGATAAATGCGTGGGCCGCGCGTAGCCGCCGACGGATTTACATAGGATAAATGACCGATTTAAACCGCTGCGTCGCACCGATCCGGCCACGCGGCGTTTTTTTTCTCTCTCTCTCTTCTCTCGGTGTGTTCTCCGCGTCGGCAGGTGTACGGAGGCGGAGGTGCACGCGGCCGCCTACCACGCGAATCGCGTATTAAGTAATGTTAGGTGCGCGACTGGAAATACGCAGCGTATTTCCAGTCGTCGCGGCGTGACGGCATCGGGCACCGCGAGTCCGATCGTGGTTCTCGAGACCCCCGGGGGGAGACACCCGGATGACGATTTTTCGGACAGCGCGAGAGAGAAACCCTGAAAGACGTTGGTCGCGCGCCCGCAGTTATCCAGCGCGACGTGAATCATCGTGGCAATTATTGAGAGACGATGCCTATATAGCGCGGCGAGTGACGCGATACACGGCCGGACGATCGATCGAACCGGATCGAGCGAGGCGTAGACGGCGAGCGTCTGCGGAATGGAATCGCGGGAGTGACGCGCGCGCGATCGCGAATATTCGCCTCGCGATATTCCCGTTTGTTTCCGGCGGACACTTCGGATCTTCGGATCTCAAGACGCCGATAAAGATCCGGCGAGACGAAAAGCGCGGCTCGCCGCGAAATCGATCGGCGATCGCGAGCTCTTGGTCGACGATCGAGCGTCTTCGCCGGGGGACGCTTGAAAGAGCCCGCGGTCGGAATTGTTCGTCGAGTGTCGTGCAGAGAATCTCGTGGAGATTATCTCGGCGATCGGCATCGAGGTCTTCATTGGGTGTTTGGCAATAAATAAATACTGCGAGAATGGTGCGGGCAAGTCGCGCGGACGGCGCGCTGACGAAGGTGAGGCCTTCAGCTATTGTCATGTTAATTTTGCAGCGGCGCGAGCAGGCTTTTAACTCCGCACGCTCTTCAAACCCGCTAATGCACGCCTCTCGACAGCATCGGCGTGTTATTGGCGGCGAGATTGACGATTTCCTCGAATCCGTCGTTAATTTTCTAATCGTTTTGTTTCCTGAAAACGGCGCGAGCCTCGGCGTCGGAGGCGCGCGAAGAGACAACGGGCCCCATTCAGTGAGGAACGAGGTCCGCGACGACGGTAGAAACCACGCGGAAGCGAGAAAACCGTGACGTCGCGTGATAAAAATTTATTTATTCAGGCAGAATGTCGTCGCGTAATCTTCTTTATTTTTTTAGGAGGAGAGGAAAAGGTGGGACAAAGTTTTGCAAGTTCCTTTAACGCCTTTGTCAATCCGTGGTTGTTTTACCAAAAGTGGAGATTTTATGAAAAATCACAACGCGAACTGTAACTTCGTTTATGTTGCGTTGTTCTTACTGAATGATTGTCGTAAAGCGCGGGTAATTTTATAGGGAAACAATTAAGACATTTTTTAATTTCTTATATGTATATACGTGTAAAAAAATACAAAAACTCGCGCGAAAGTATACCATTCACCGCTAGTCCAGCGAGAAAGTGCAGAAAGTACAATTCTATTTGCACTCGTATTCTCTCAAGCGACAATAGGTTTGTTTTTTGTTCCTGCACTGGACTAGTGCAGTAAGCTAGAATGAGAAGAAAAATATGCTCGTCTTACTCCAATTTATTGCACTACTTCACTAGTGTAGGAATAGAAAACAAGCCTAATGCAAGAAAAAGTTCGCGTTTCGGTGACTCATTAGGCTAGTTTCCTGTTGCTACGCCGGTGAACTATAGTGCAATGAGTTAGAGCAAGACAAGTATAGTTTTGCTCATCCTAGCTTACCGCGCTGGTTCACCGTGCAGGAACAAAACAGCAAACTATTGTCAATCAAAGACCCGGCGTTGGTAAACAAATTCATCTTTTAGTTCGCCGCTGCCGTCGCTGTCGACGAGCGGTCGGGCGGCAGCAACGGAAGAGACGGCGCGCGGTTTACAATCCTGATCACGAGACGGGTGTAAAGAGAGAAACGGAAAGGGGAAGAAGCGTCGCGACGCGCGTTCCGTCGGATATTTCAGTCTGCTTCTCTCGCGCGGCGGCGTGCGCGCTTCGATACCGTTCACGCGGCGTCGCGCTACGTAGACATATAGCGTTTGCTCGCGCTCGCGGCTACGCCGCGGCTATTATTAGTCTTCGGTCATCGGAGAGGAGCCCCTGCGTGCGCGAGCGAAGACGCGACGACGACGACGACGACGACAACGGAGACGACGCGTGTGCACGCACGCGGAAAAGTCGCGCCTATCGCCGCGAACGCTCGCCGTGTCGCGTTCGGAAATCACCTGCCGTGCACGTGCGTGCGGAACACGCTCTCCGCCGCCGCCGCCGCCGTCAAACCGCGCGCGAACTTCCGCTGCGTCTGGTGACCCGTGCGCAAGAGGAGGCCTCTCCGTAGCACCCGCTCGTTGGACCTTGGGAAGGATGGTCCTCGCACGCTCTTCACTGTGAGTCCATTTCATCATCTTCCCCCCCCCCCCCCTCCTCCCTGCCCATTTCCGCGGCTTCTTGTCCTCGGCGAAACGTATGTATACGTGCGAGCTTGGACACCTTTTCTTGCGGCGCTGCGTATATCGCGTGCGTGCATGCGAACTGATCCCGGGATCAATTAAAGGGCGACGCGGAGGAGGCTCGAGGATCGATTAAGATCAAAGCGAGGTTTAATTGATTCCCCTCTCACTCTCTTTCTCCCTGGCCCCACGTCCGGAAGGAGGAGGAGGCGAGGAGTCGCCGTTGGACACTGTGGTTGGGCCGTATAGTCATCTTCGACCAGATGGAGAACGGCGCCAACGGCGGAGTCTCCTCGTCGGGAACGCTCGCTCCTTGCGAACTCGCCGAAATTACATCGCGACGCATCTGTTCCCCCCCGAGATACCGAGTCGGACGAGAGGTCCGCGGTTCCGCGCGCGGCTGAGTCATTCCGCGCTATAACGGCGAACATTTCTCGGTATTTCCGACTGTCGAAGCGCGTTACGCGAGGCGCGGGACGATAATAGGCGGTATCGCGCGCGATCGTCGACAGTATACGGAGGGTATGCCGTGTCGGTCCTTTCTTCTGCTGTGCCCGAGAGGTAAACCGCCGAGGGCATTGTGGTACACAGATTTCGGGCACTGGGAATTTTTTGGGCATTACTGGATGTATTTGGCCTTGCTGGGGCATTATAAAAAGTCTAAAAAGATAAAACAAGATAAAATAAGGTAATAAGATAAAGTGATGCCCACTGGGCACTAGCAGCCATTTTTTGGGCATTAATGGGTGTTATTTGGCCTTGCTGGGGCATTATAAAGACTTCAAAAAGATAAAACAAGATGAAATGAGATAATAAAATTAAGTAATGCC